CCCAGACAGCTCGCTGGGCTTTGGCTGAAGAACTTCCTCTTTATCTCGGTCCGACTCTATTAAATCTTCCTGTCACAACATAAATCACACAGAGTGAAGTATAATACCTGCTGTTTTTAGTCTGCATTTGGTAACAATGTGAATCCAGAAATTGACTCTTGACACTTAGGCCTCACTGAACACTTTTTTAATGAGCAGTTGTAATAAAATCTGTTTCCTTTAGAACAAGTTTGCACAACATTTGTCATTAATATTTCCCCAAGTGGGGACAATTGACATGTGCGTTGTGGGTACAAAGCATGAAACACACGCTTATCATTGCCATGGTTACCATGCAATCTGGAAACACACACTTCCGCACAAACAGGATGACATTCAAATGTCTGTGCCTTGTCAAGATTACAATTGTCTGTCCATGTTACAAAAAGGGCAGACTAGACTTTTTGTCTCGCCTCCTAATTTTCTCTAATGTGGTAATTCACCTTTGCTCACCGTTGTGTGACACGATGTCTAAATAGACGTGTAGCAGTAAAGTGTAAAGCATTAACATCAGACTTACATCATTGTCATCCTCGTCCTCTTCATCGTCCGACTCTGGCCCTTCTTCCTCCACTAGATGGAACACAGCATTTATGTATTTAATGAAGAACAGTCCCAAATCAACTCATATTTCTAACTTCCACTGGGAATTGAACAACTAAATTACAAAACCTAGATCTTGTTGAAAGGAACATTCAAGTACAGTAGATTGTTGTTTTCATTACATAGTGGACTATGTTGAGAATAACCCAATGATCAATGAAAATCAAAATTATTACTCCATGGAGGTATGGATTCAGAATCATTTTCAAAATAAAATGGGAGAAATCACTTCTGTGGAAGTTTCTCAAGAGAATGCAAAATGAGGCTCAGTGGTGCACGGGGGCCGCCATGTGCCTGCATGCAGTCCCTGCAACGTCTCTCCACAATGCAGAGGATTTTCTCCGGAGGGATCTCCTCTTAGACCTGGCTCAGGAAAGTCGACTCTTGTGGTGCCACATGTCTCCATTGGATGGAACGAAACATGGGGTCCATGCTGGACTGGGTTCAGGTCTGGGAAACGGGCAGGCCAGGTCAGAGCACCAGTGTTTTTTTTCATGCAGGAAATTCTGACATACTCCACTCCAGTCCAGTCAGAAGTATTGCCATTCATAATCTTTGGTTTGCACATATTGTCACACTACCTCTACTGATATGAACATGGGCAAAATTCAAAAATGACCAAAAAGTAAACCAGAAAGGATGAAGATGGGCTAGGCGAGGTACAGTATGTGGTCTCCACCTGCAGAACCATTCCTTAAGAGGGGTTGTATTGCCTCTCATTTCCTCTTCTCTTTCTTTTCACAACAGTAAGTGAAATTTATTCATAATCAGTGTTGCTTCCAAACCGGACAGGTTGATATCCCAGACATGTGACTGACCTGTAGTTACATTGTAACGATTGTACGTTGCCTTTATTTATTTTTTTAGCCCTGTGTGGTAAATAACTTGTTGATTCTTCATCTAATAAAATATTGACAATAAAGCCAAATTGACCAATAAAGACTTATTGACTTATAGACTTATGCTGTAGTAAATGAGTAAACAAACCTTCAACGTATATTCACTGACCTGAGTTGAGCTGTTTCATGATGAAGCCAATTTGTCTGTGAAGATCTGGATTATCCTCCTTGCAGAAGCAGCG